GTAAAAATACTAGTTAAAAATAAAAATGTAGTAGCTGAAAGGGCAAAATCAGGTGATGGAGAAAAAGAAAAAAGAAAAACAGAAAAAAAAATGTTTTCTTAGTTAAAAGGAGAAAAAGTAATTTAAAAAAATAAAAATAAAAATGTGCAGTAATGCAGGTGCTTCAGATCTTCTACTCTTCTTATTGGCCCGCCCGGAATTCAGGAGAATGTTGTTTCCCTCTGGTACACTGCTCCTCCGTGTTGTAAGCCACAGTCCTTAAAATCCCCTTATTGCCTTATCTGTATTTACAGAAGAGTCAGTTCGTGGCTCTGCCTCTGGGTGGCAGTGTTTCTGGATTGACCTCCGAGGCTATAAGTTCTCTCCAAACCAGGAGCTCTGTATTGTACCTGAACCAGCTCCGCCCAGAGGTGGTTCCGCAGGCGCCACTCCCAGCTCTGTTTCCCTGGCTCCCCAAAAACAGTCTTCCCCTACAAGCTCTGCTAGTGACCCCAACTGGGCAATCACATCCAATGGGGTCAACAATCAAACTCCCAGAAGTAAGAGGAAGTGTGTAGACAAGAGCCTGGGAAGCTGTTCGAACTCGCAGGGTTCCACCCTCCAGAACTGCGCGAAATGACTGCGCGTTATGTCTGCGCGTGCTCAAGCCCCTGGCAACAAGTAGCCGGTTATCAGGGAAACTCTGAGGTAGCCCTTTTTGCGTCCAGTCCAATTATGGGCTCATTTATAGTGATACCTTCTGGCAGCAGCCCTGCGGGAGCCCTCCCCACTTACGGATTGCCCTGGCTTCTATGTGTGCGGATTTTGGAGTGCGCAGATTTCCCCCTGTGCCCGCGCGCGCGTTCCTTGCTCCGACCTGAACTGCAAACTGCACCTTTGGGGTAAGTCTAACCTTTCCGTGGAGGGAAGCAGGTCTCCGCTGAGCTCTTGTAGTCGCGCTGCTTGCGAGTCTCCGGGTTGGTAGGCGCCAGGTTAGTAGCCGTTCTCTGGATGCCGGTAACTGGTAGCCGCAACCCAAGATGGCGCGGTCTCGCCGCTGTGCTGGCGCCCAGGGGGGAGGTTTCAGCCTCAATCTCTAACCATCCGCATTTTTTAGGAGTTCTCTGTCTTTCCTGGCTGCAGACTGCCTCTCAGCTGAACCTCCCCAGCTTGATCGGGCTGATTGTTACCCGTTTCAGCTGCTCGCCCCTATCTGCTCCGGGATAAAGCACCAACACGTCCGTCTAAGCCTCCGCCATTTTTTTTTTCCTTCAAGTTGAATACTTTTAATGCAGTGTCTTCTCATGTCAAATTTAGAATTTACTTTGACATTGTCTTGTGTAATTGTCTATGCTTACAAAGCCAAAAACCTGACACTTAAACTTAAATAATGGCATTGTCCAGACTGCAATAGCCAGCACATCTGATTTCTACTCCTTTTTCCTCATATTGTGTCAGCTATAGCTTTCTCTGTCCTCAGTCCAATTGAAATAGAAAAACTTTCTTAAATTTTTCTTAAAACTTTTAGAATCTTTAGTTAGGATGTTCTTTTGAAATGATAGCAGCCTTTTGTAGGAAAGATGTTGAAATTAGTATAGTTAAATAGTTGAATAGAATAACTGAACAACCGAACAACCGCACATCTGGTCGCTATGACGTGCGCTAACCACCAGGGGGTGCACGTGGAACATGGTAGGCATCGGCCACAGCGGGATGGTGGAGCAGGTGAGCAGGGGTGCCAGACCAAAGCTGGGCGCCGGTAGCTGTCATCGGGGCGAGCCTTTGGTGGTTACTGAAAATTCTTTGCTCCCGTGCACCATGGTCGCACCAGGTGCTTGCACCTGCTGCTGGTGTTGGCCCCACTCGCATCCACTGCTGGCGCTAGAGTTGCCGCTCACACCCACTGCTGGAGCCTGGTACCGCCCCGATCGCTCAGCACCATCAGCGGGTGTGAGCGGCGGCTGCTGGCCCAGATTGCCCCTCAGGGCTTCTCCACCCCCCCTGTTCCTGAGGGGTGATAGGGGCCAGCAGCTGCCTCTCGCACTCGCTGCCAACGATGGCCCCGCTCATACCTGCTCATGGTGCCAGCCCCACTCTCACCCGCTGATGGCTCCAGCCCTGCTCACACCTGCGGCTGGCGCTGGCCCCAGTCGCTCTGCGCTGTCAGTGGGGGCTGGCGCCATCAGGGAGTGGGAGCAGCAGTGGTGGCGGGAGCAGAGCTGCTGGCAGACAGGGACGGGGGGCCGCAGAAGGAGGGGCTGGGCGGGGGCACGGAGGATGGGCTGAGACCCACCTCTGTGCCCACCACAGCCTCACAGCCCATAGTTTCTTTCAAGGTGCACAAATTCGTGCACTGGGCCCCTAGAGTGTGTGTGTGTGTGTGTGTGTGTGTGTGTATAATATACATATGTATAGTACAAACATAGAGACACAGGAATGTATATTTTTCCAGTCTTTATCAAAGAAATATTTCTAAAGGTATTTAGTAGTGCTAATATTGTTAAAGTTTCAGTAGTTGAGTCTCAGAACTTTTCCATTCTGTAAGAAAAGAATTTAGAATGTAAATTTGTTGCTTGTCAAATATTTTTCACATCTACTATTTATATAACTTGTTACTATAAGGCTTTAAAATAGAATTATAAAAAAAGAGTGAATTTAAGAAGAAATAAATTAGGTTTTAATTACTTAGAATGTAATTTTAACATGCTATAATAGACATGAGGAATATAATACTCATTTATTTTATAAAGTTTATTTTCAAATTATAGAAGTATTCATACGTTTTGAAAAATAGATATCTCAGGAAATAAAATGGAAAAAAATTAACACTAGACAATTTTCAAAGTACTGATAAATTTTAAAAACATAGGTCTTTTAGTGAAATTCAGCTCAATCAAAGAGCAAAAGCTGAGTTTGTGCTTTCACTTAATGGGTCTAGTATTATTCTTACTTAACTTATTCATCAATAAGAGAAAATGAATCACTTTTTAGGTTTGTACTACAGAAAGTGCCAGTTAATTTCCAAGGAAGATGCCACTCATGATACGAAGCTTTTCTGCTTGATGCTGCCACCAAGCACTCACCTTCAGGTGCCAATTGGGCAACATGTTTACCTCAAGCTAACTATTGCAGGTAAGGCAAGTAGAGCCTTTGGAGGAACAGTTTCTTCTTTTATTAGCTGTTCTAAAACAGCACTAATCTCTTTAGAAAGCACCCATGGAGATGATTATTAAGTGTTTGGGGGCAGCTGGATTTAGGGATGGCCAGATTCTAGTGCTCCTGCATGTTGGAACCACAGCCATGCCGTAGTATTGCATGGAACAAAGAAACTGCGACTAGTCACAGAGATGGTTCCACCAGCACCGTCATTTATTACTAACAAAGCCTTAGAGCAGTGGTTCTCAACCTTCTGGCCCTTTAAATACAGTTCCTCATGTTGTGACCCAACCATAAAATTATTTTCGTTGCTACTTCATAACTCTAATGTTGCTACTGTTATGAATCGTAATGTAAATATCTGATATGCAGGGTGGTCTTAGGCGACCCCTGTGAAAGGGTCGTTCGACCGCCAAAGGGGTCGCGACCCACAGGTTGAGAACTGTTGCCTTAGAGGAAAGAGGTGCGGGAGTGCACAAATGCCCCCTCGTGAAGACAACTCCTGCAAACATACCAGCATCTCTAAAAGCCACTTGCTGTCTTGTCATTTACAAAGTTGAATTTATAAAATTTCAAGATGAGTGAATGATTATAAATGATGTTCTTATCGGTGCCACCAGTATAAAAAGATCTGTAAATTCCTTACTGTGTGAATTCTTTTTCTCTCCTTTTCATCCTAAAAGTACCTCATTTATTTGTTTTTAAATACCCTTCTTACTGATGTGTAACATTTTCTTGGCTTTTTGAAGCTGCAAAATGTAACATTCTCATGTCAGTCAAGGTGTTTCCAGCCATCAATCTAACAGACTCCCAGCCAGGCTGTGGTGGAGGTGGTCGGTTATGATAGCACTATGAAGTCTCTCTCTTCATCATCTAATGCCAGGTCATCATCCAATAACTGGTGTCTTCCTCAGTGCAGTGTATACATTCATTTTGTATACGTCAAGCAGCCATGTGTAGTATTGTGCTCTTGCAAATTTGTGATGATTCCCCTCTCTTTGGAATTTGGCCAGCTAAAATATAACATGAAACTAGAGGCCCAATGCACAAAATTCGTGCAAGAGTAGGCCTTCCTTCCCCCAGCTGCCGGCACCAGCTTCCCTCTGGCACCCGGGACCCGGGCTTCCCTCCAGCCGTTGGCAGGCACCTGGGACCCGGGCTTCGTCTGGAAGGTCGTCCAGTCTAATTAGCATATTACACTTTTATTTTAACATGAAATATTAACATTTACCCTTTAAAAAAACTATTCTTAAAAGTAGTTGGATTAATATTCTTTTCATCCAGTTACCAAAGCAGTATATACTATATTAAACATTAAAACAATTTTAAATGTATAAAGTAAAATGTGAAATTCTTGCCTTTCTCAAACCCAAATAAATGATCAGTAACCATTGCAAAAAACTTATGTATAATTAAAATTATTGTGTCAGTACCAACTTAAGTCTCTGTGTAAACTTTTTATGCCATTTTTGTTGTGGCTTATTACAAAGTTTATATGCTGATAGAAGAGATGATTGAGTTTATTAACATAAATCCCAATTGTATGTCACACTTAATAAAAACAGATTGTTTATATTATAGATAAAATATTGATTTGTTAAAATTATTTCAGCTCACATTAACCCGGGGTATATATCTATCTGTACTATACACATATAGACCATAGAACTATATAAACATTAGGAGTACAGTTTTTAATATAGGCTGATTGATTGCATCATAAAATTTGTGTGTTTTATCTTCATTCAGAGCTTTTTAGATTTTTAGAATTGAATTTCTTTGTCGTGACTTTTTCTAGGTACTGAAATAGTGAAGCCATATACACCTGTATCTGCTTCCTTACTCTCAGAGTTTAAGGAACCAGTTATTCCCAATAATAAATACATCTACTTTCTGATCAAAATCTATCCTGCTGGACTCTTTACACCAGAGCTTGATCATCTTCAGATTGGTTAGTATTTTATGTTTGTTTTTTTTGTTTGTTTGTTTACCCCATTTGTGTTCTGGGTTAGATCACATGTTATACTGCCCTCTAGTTATCTCCATCTGGGAGTCTATCAAATGTCTTAAACTCAACATGTCTGCAACTAAAATCATGTTCTCTTTGTCCCACCCAACCTATCATTACTCCATACTCATCTCTATTATTTGCAACATCACTCACTGTTCATTCTTGACCCAATCTGGAGATTTGAGCCAGCTTTGAGTCTTCCCATTTTATTCCTCCCAATCCAGTCAGGTACTGTGTTCTATTGAGTCTACCTCCCCGTGACTTTCTAATCTTTTCTTTCCCTTCAGCCACCCTCTTAGATCAAGCCTTCATCATTTCTCTCTTGGCCTCTAACTGGTCTCTCTCAGTTGCCTCTAACTGGGGTCTTTCTCTTTCTGTTTATCTGAATTTTCCAGTTTTTTTTCCAAACTGCCCTGAGAATAGATTTAACCATGTTGCTCTGCAGCTTTAAAGCCTCTGCTGAGTCTCCATTATCTAACTGATTAAGTCCCCTGCGTGACCTACAAATATTTTCATGATCTTTCTAGCTTCATCTCTCAGTGTACAGATCCTGGTGCTATTCAGAGTTCCACAAGCCTGGCATACTCACTCATAGGTACCTCACCTCTGAGTGGCCTCACCTAGGATGCCCAACAACCCTGTCTCTGTCTATAAAGTGCCCTTTTTAAAGAACCAAACAAAAATATCACTTCTATGAACATTCCCCTCCTCCTCTGAACCCCTGCAAATCCTGACACGTTGTTCATAGCTCTAGGATAAGAATAAATAATATTTCTTCTTTACAAGACTTTGAGTTTAAAGGGAGAGTGTCTTATTTATCTTTGTATTTCCTGCACCTAGCATGGCACTTGGCACATAAAAGGCTCCCGATAAATATACTTTGAAAGAATGACTAAAAAGACTATAATGAAATTGATTAAGGTTTAGAGACTATCTGCTTTTACTCCTTTTTCTGTGTCTTCAGTTTTTCACTGCCTGAGCCTAACAGTACAGGTGTTCTTCCCCTTTTTAAGGCAGTATTAACAGTGCAGTGGAGTAACAGTGAGGTAGATCACGAAAATTTGGAAATAAAGAAAATTACATTGTTTTCTGAAAGTTAAGCTTAGAAATATTTATGCAGTGATGTGATTAGTCATCTTGGGTTACATAAATCAAAATATTGACTAAAAATGTGAACCTAAAGAATTTTGGAATATCCACAAATCTAGTGAAGGTATCTATTTTGTGAAGGACTGACACGTGATTGTAATACAGCAAGTGGAAACAAGCAGCGGTATTGTAGCCTGTTTTAGAGCTTGAGTGAGCAGAGCAAGGTGGAGAGTGAGCCTAGAACATGAAAAAGGAAAGCCTGCAGCTCAGGATCAGTGTGTTTTCACCTCTATCCACAGAGCTAGAGCTAGACATGGCACGCACACTTGTTTCACTTAGAGGCATGTATGCTGCCATGGCAGTGATAACTGCAGCCTCGTTATGTCCCAATCAAACTGCACTATAATGTTATCCACTTTGTTCAATCCTATGTTCATCAAGCAACTTTTATATGATTGTTTTGGCCTTTCAAATGTCAAATGAATGAGATGCCCTAAATGGGGTGGGTAATTTTCAGGTGAGTGGATGCAGATAGCCTGACTGGAAGTCAGTGACCTTTCTGGCATGTGTACTTGAATTTCTTGTGAACTTGATTAACAAGAGGTACATTGCCCAAGTCTAATCAGTGTTATGATGTTGGACTGTGGACAGAAGTTACCAAGTTGGTATCATTCTTTGAGGCTTTTTTAGTAATATCCCAGGGATATTCTGATCTTATGGTCCCTTTCAAGCTATAACAAGGAGCTCTTTTACTTCTAACAATCAATTACTGCAAGATTCTTACTATCCTGCTATGGATAAGAAAGGAAAAATTATGAACATCCAGCATTTAAAAATTCAAATTGTTTTTTTAAATATGGACAGCTTTATTTTTTATTTTTCAAATTACATTGAAAATTTCTGAAATGTCCTAAAGGCAATTCTCTTATATGAGTGGTACATAGTGGTTATTTCAACTGCATTTCAGAAAATAGTTTTTCTCAGCTATTTTGATTCTATATTGTGAAGTAACATGCTCCAAGTACAGTTTCTGAACTTGCTTTGTTTTTATAGAAGTAAATTAAGAACAAACTCTTCTTGCTTTAATCCATTAGTCTTTTAAAAGATTTGATGGAAGTGAAGTCAGCACATTTACTAACAGAAGATTTTACAATACATTTTTACTTCAATTTTCTCTCCTACTAACCTTATTACTATGGTTAAGAATCAATATGTAGCCCAGCCAGGTAGCTCAGTTGGTTGGAGCATCATCTTGTACCTCAAAAAGGTTGTGGGTTCAATTCCTAGTCAGGGCACATACCTAGATTGCAGGTTTGATCCCAGTCGGGGCAATTACAGGAGGCAACCAATTGATGTTTCTGTCTCACATCGATATTTCTCTTCCTCTCTCTCTGAAATCAATAAACATGTCCTCTGGTGAGGATTAAAAAAAAAAAAAAGAATCAATATGTAAGTAGAAATATCTTTTCTCTGCCCTGTACTGTGCAAGACAGGGAGACATGGACTCTGCTTTTTAGGTGCTTATAATTTAATTTAGCAATCTATGTAGAGCCTGTATTTATTGGTAATTTGTACTTAAGTACTTGGCAGTAGTACTTAATTAGAGTCCAGATGGTTTGGGAAATTAATTGTGTAATTAAATGAGTGAAATAAAACATGATTATTAATTTGATTATAGTGATATAATCCAGACATACTTGGGGGTCTAATAAATACTCTTAAAACTCCTTACATACTACCTTAAATACTAAGATGGAGTCTGAAAGCTAAGCATTCATCCTGTGACTCACCAGTGTTCTAAATTCAGCTAGGTGTAGCCTTCTCAGTTTCCCTGCTTTTTTTTTTCTGATTTAGTTTATATTTTATTGTTTAGGAGATTTTGTTTCCGTAAGCAATCCTGAAGGCAATTTTAAAATATCCCAGTTCCAAGAATTGGAAGATCTCTTTTTATTGGCAGCTGGAACAGGCTTCACACCAATGGTTAAAATACTGAATTATGCTTTGACCAATATATCCAGTCTCAGGTATGTAATTTTATCTTTAATTACTATCCCTTATGAAGCTGTTAGATTAGTACAAGGTATTCTAAATTGTTTGATTCCTCAGTAGACCTTAATAGACATGTTCTCATTTCCTCATTCATTTCTTAACTCTGCCTCCTCAAGTCCTAGCTAATTATAAACATAATTCTCTTTTATTTTGATTCTTTTAGTTACCTAATTGCACTAAAAAAACATTTTTGCTAGTTTACTTTTAGATTGATTCATGCATATTTTAAATGTAATTGAAATAGTTCTTTTTGAGTTGTTGCTGTTTTTTTTTTAAGGAAGGTGAAGCTGATGTTCTTCAATAAAACAGAGGATGATATAATTTGGAGAAGCCAATTGGAGAAATTAGCATTTAAAGATAAAAGGTATTAAACTGGTACTAGCTCTACATTTAAATATCCATACACGTGTAAGTCAATCTTGGCAGTATTTCCTTTGGGTGGAATTTTTAATTGACCAGGAAGCTTCGTCAAAGAAACAAAAACTAATCAATAATTTTCTAAATGTAAATAATGTTCTACCCTCCCCCCAAAGAAATAGTTTGCTAAGATCAATGTGACATCATATATGTATCAATATATGGGTTTTATGTTTATACTAGAGGCCCAGTGCATGAAATTCGTGCAAGGGGGTGGAGGGGCTCCCTCAGCCCGACCTGCACCCTCTCGCAATCGGGGACCGCTGGCTCCTAACCGCTCACCTACCTGCCTGCCTGATTGCCCTAACCACTCTGCATACGTGCCTGATTGCCCCTAACCACTCTGCCTGCCTGCCTGATCACCCCTAACCCCTATACCTGCCTGCCTGATCATCCCTAACTGCTCGCCTGCCTGATCATCCCTAACCACTTGCCTGCCTGCCTAATCGACCCTAACTGCTCTGCATGCCTGCCTGATCACCCCTAACTGCTCGACTGCCTGCCAGCCTGATTGCCCCTACCATCTCTGCCTCAGCTCCTGCCGCTGTGGCTTCGTCAGGAAGGATGTCCAGAAGGTTGTTCAGCTGTCTGGTCTAATTAGCATATTATGCTTTTATTATTATAGATTATGTTATCTATACAGTTGGGTTTCAGTGTAGCCAATTTGGTAATTGAAGATTTAAATAAATTTGGTGGATAGATTATGCAAAAATAAACACGTTTCTTTACTGCCTTTAATATGGTCATGTCCATAGTGATTTTCCATTGTTTACAAGCTTCTCTTCATTTGTGTTTATTGACATTAACATTTGCTGATAGCTGTATCATCAGTGGTCCTCAGGGTAGGCAATAGGAAAAGTTTGAGTTAAGCTGAACCCAGTGGTAGAATGAGGCAGCAAGGATAGCAAAGTGAAAATTTGTTTCATTGGAAAAAGGGCCCTAGCACAGGCCACTGAGAAAATAAGATAATTTAAATGAATGTATGCCCATTTCCCCTAAGAAATCTGAAAGCAGTGGGAAATTCTAAATAAACTTTTTAGAAGAAAAGTGAATTGGATAACCTAACATAATGTCTATACTTATCAGAAGCTATTTCTCATAATTTCAGGACTGTAAGCATCTGAAGTAAATATTTATGTTTATGATAGTATGGTATAGATCATTCTAGGCTTTATAAAATTAAAGTTAAAGACCACACAAACTCAGCTGTTTCTCTGGGGGCTCCAGGTTCTTCTGAATATTTGCTGAACATCCTATCTAATAAATTAAGAATATGCTAATTGACCCTCAGGCCATCGCAAAGATGGTGGCACCCACAGCCAATAAGGAGGGAATATGCTAATTGACTGCCCCACCCTCAAAGATGGTGGCACCCACAGCCAATAAGGAGGGAATATGCTAATTGACTGCCCCGCCCTCAAAGATGGTGGCGCCCAGTCCCCTCAGCCCCCCAGCCGCCCAGGGCCGGCCGAGGCTTGCACTGCCGGCAGTGGCAGCAGCAGAGGTGTGATGGGACGTTGCCTTCCCCTGATCGCCAGGTCGCCTCCCAACCCTGAGGGCTCCTGGACTGTGAGAGGGGGCAGGCTGGGCTGAAGGAACCCCCCTCTAGTACATGAATTTTCATGCACCGGGCTTCTAGTTCTTAATAAGATAATGCTGAGGTCTTTTCTAGTTTTTTGGTTTTTTTTTTCTATTGTCTCCCATCCTCCTCCTCATTTTCTTTTAATAAATGACTTTCACAAATGAAGGATGACCTGAACTTACTTATTCTTGAAATACTAGGTGTACCAGTTAATAATAGCAGATTTTGTAATCAAAGAAAACACGATAATTTCAAAAGAAACATCAAAAGTGCTTTATTCAAAGTAATGTCCATCGCTAGCTACACATTCCCCATCTATCAGGTAATTTGTGGATACTGTCCCAATAGAACTTTTCTTGTTTTGAGGCAAACCATTCGGAGACCCAATTTTCCACTTCTTCGTACGTTTTGAAGTGCTGCTCAGAAAGTGGGTGTGCCATTGATTGGAAAAGTGGTAATCTGAAGGAGCAAGGTCTGGTGAATACAGCGGGTGGGTTAATACTTCCCAGGCAAGATCTTTTAATGTGTCTTTAACTGGTTTTGCAGTGTATGATGGTGCATTATCATGAAGCAAAATTACTTTGCCATGTCTTCTGGCACATTCTGGTCGTTTCACAATCAAAGCATAGTTCAAATTGATTATTTGTTGTCGGTAGCAATCAGTATTAACGGTTTCACCTGGTTTTAGAAGCTCATTATACACCACACCTTCCTAATCCCACCAAACGCAGAGCATTGTCTTCTTTACGAAGCGATTTGGCCTTGCAGTCGATGTTGATGGGTGACCTGAATCAGCCCATGATTTTGTGCATTTGGGATTCTCAAAATAAATCCACTTTTCATCGCCAGTCACAATTCGATGCAAAAAAGACTTTCTTTGGTGCCATTGAAGCAACATTTTACTGATGACTTTTCAGTTTTCCATTTGTCTTTCGTTTAGTTGATGTGGCACCCATTTTCCTTCCTTTAAAATCTTTCCTATTGCTTGTAAACTATTGGAAATTATTTGCTGAGCAACATTTAATCTTTCTGCAAGTTGTTTTTGAGTTTGACATGTATCTTCATCCAATAATGCTTATAATTGTTGGTCTTCAAACTTTTTCGGTGGACCTGGATGCTCTTTGTCTTTCACATCAAAATCATCACTTTTAAAGCGTTTCAACCAGCGTTCATAAGTATCTCGAGATGAAGCATGTTCACCATAAGCTCCCGGAAATATTCAGCAGCACTTTTCTTCTAAATAAAGTAATGAATTATAACTTCCGGCAAATGCTCTTTTTTTGACACGAAGTTGGACATTTTTAAGTGTAAAAATATCTATGATGTAAACACCTTCAGCAAATTCAACATATGAAGTTTTGAAGCTTGTTGTCAATACAACAAAATAGCATACATATCAAATGGCATATAGTAAGTATATCAACATATGTTGCAGGCTTGATCCTGCAACATTAACCGGTACACCTAGTATTTACTCTTCTTACATAGTCAAGACATAAACCTAAGAATATTTACAATATGTAGGTAATTATATGGCAATTAGAGCATGATTTAGAAAGAAATACAAAGCCCTAGGTTTTCAAGTGCCTTTTACACTAGTTTTCAAAGTGGAAGATTGGAAGTAGCAGTTATTGAAAAGCCTAAAAACCTAAATTCTAGTTTTTATTCTACCTTTACTAGCTTGAAACTTTATTCAAAAATTACTTAGTTCTGTGGACCTGTTTCTTTAGCTTCAAATAAAATGATATCTTTCCTACTTTCCTACTTCATAAGGCTATTGTGAGGATTAGAAAAGGGTAAATGCTTTGGACACTGTGACGCCTACCTCAGATATTTGAATTGTGGTTATGGAGGACCTCTGTCTACATGTGTTTCGTTTCTGTATTATCCGAGTTCCTGTTTTCCTAAGCATTTAAAATAATTTAAACACACCTAGGTAGGTTTTTTTAGTTAGGTTTTTTAAAAAGTATTTTTGGCTATGTTTTTATATTCTCTAAGATGGTTCCTTTATAAAAGAAGAGTCAATTTGCCAACATTTTAATGAACAGACATGTACTTTCAGTCAACAGGCATGAATTTGATTTAAGAAGTAATTAGTAAATCGGAGTGTGTTTATAGATAGCCTCCAAGCATGAAGTGTCTTTTGACAGAGTCACCTGTGTGTTTTGTTCTGTTTTATTCCCGCCTACATAATTTGGGTGGTGGAATGGCATAGGCTGTGGTGTGGAGGATGAGGAAAGGCCCCTCTTTCCCTCACCTGGATGCCTGGCTCTAGCAGCACTCACCAGGTGAGTGACACTCCAGCTCGCTGAGAGAAGTGACAGTGTTCGGCTTCTGGCCTGCCTTATCCTCCCGCACTGCTCCTTCTCTCTGTCTCCTTGCTCTCACCTGCTTGCTCCTGTGTGCTCTCACCCCCTCTACTCCCTAACCTCTTCCTCCTCCTGGAGACGTGAGGCGCCTTGCAGAGGCGGTCCATTGGCACCGACTGCTAGCACCGTATCATTAATGCTCCCTGGAGACCCATGGTCAGGCCCTCACTGGGAATAAAGAGCCATGCTTGTGGAGATGGCTTTGGAACATTTATCAGGGGTTTTAAATATTTTGAGGCTTCATGCAGATACAAGAGAAACCTGGCCTTAAAGGCTTATTGAGGGTTTTTAGTTCCCTCATTCAAAAACATCATTGTTGAGTTTCATACATAAAGGGGAAGTAGAAGTTCAGATTCAACATAAGGTAATTTTAATTAGCCACATCTGTATTTTAGTTAACATTCACAGCTAATTTTATATATTAAATCACCTTTCCTACATCTTGACTCTCCCATGTCACTCCTAGTCTTAGTAATAAAGTTTCGGATGATAAAATGTGACATCTGAACACATCTCTTGGTTAAATTATAATTGGATTGGAATATATAAAATAAATTTTTCTTACATTTTGTAGTTAAAACAAGTGAAATACTTTATTGTCTGTATTAGGTGTTAGCCTTCCACTCAGTGCTTTGTAGGACAAGGAGGGATAGGGAGGATGGATAATGAGGCTGATGTATGATCTGTTATTTTCATTTCAGCAAGCATGCTATGCTTGTCCTCAGTTTATCTAGATTATATCATTCATTAGCAAATGAAATTCTTAGAATTGTCATTATATAATGGAAACTTACTAACCTTGTGATCTTGGCAAGTTATTTGATCTGACTGAGCCTCAGTCTTTCTATCTGTAAAACAGGTATATCAATACCTACTTTACAGAATTGTTTGGACATGGGGGCAATGTGAGAGCATATGTAGGTGCCTAACCCAAAATTAGCATATTAGTAACATTCATCCATTCATGAAATACATGTGAGTATCTACTATGTGCCT